GTTTTTAATACCCCATCCATCCTTAATCACTAAATATTTCGCGAAAATTCAAATAATGAATTTTTAAATTTTTCCATTGAGCTTGATGTGTATGCACAGTGAGTGATTACATGAAATTGTTTGATATCTGAGATTAAGAGTATGACGTATAAATTTATTTTTTCATATATAAATGAGCGTCAGTCAAGCATGCTTCATAGTTCACTAGAATAAGAGAAGAATAACTAAAGTGATCAAATAGAGAGTGGAAACATGAATCTCACACCCTTAGCCGTAAGCTTTTGAGCCTAAACAGAATTTTTTTTTTTGGTGTGAACTTTACTGTTGAATCACTCTAGAACTTGTTTTGTTTCTCTTTGAAATGGTCTGTGATATGCAATTGTTGAAATGATAGATGCAGTCCTTTCTAAAAGCTAGATAGCCAAATAGCCCCCCGAATGTTTATTCTTAGATTAAGCCCCTTTGAGCCTAGGCCTGTTTATTCATTGACAACTTATTATGAATAGCCACTCCATACATATCCTCACCTGAACTGATTAATTTTTAAATTTAAATGAGGAACTAGATATGATTGAAACAAAAAGAGAAAATCAAACTCTAGTATATGGAAGAAAAGGTGAAAAGAGGAAAAAGCCAAAAAGTGGTGGAATAGAAAAAAAAAATGAAAAGAAAAAAAGGTTGAAATGTGTATTTGTACAAAAACAGAAAAAAAAGGGAAAAAGGAAAAGAAAGAAAAGATTCGTGTTATATGAATAAGTGGAAGAAGAAAAGAGGAGAAAAATAAGAGAAATTTGTTGAATAATCATATTTAAATTCCTCTTTGAATTTGAATTTTGATCAGTAATCTTAAGCCACTTACCCAGATAATTCCTTTTCTTTTACCTAAGCCACGTTACAACCTTAACAAAGACCTCTTGATTGACTTTGTATACCAGTAAGATTGTGGAGAGTGAGAATATAAACAAGTTTATGGAAGTGTTAATTCAGTAAAGAGTGAAACACATACCCTTAAACATTGAGTATGAGTGAATAAATAAATAAAAATCCATTGAGAGGGTGTTGTGGAAATTAAATGGTACTACTCTTTCTTTTGAGAACGCATGTTATGATTTTATGACTGGTGAATTATGACTGTTTGCTTGAAATTGATGTGTCATTGATTTTTAATAAATCTGAATACTTTGATATCTCATTATTGATCAGTTTTATGTCTGTTATTCATTAAGCATGACTAGCTGTCTCCAAACTTTTCCTTAGTTTTATTCTAATTAATTGCTGAGAACATCAATGTTCAAATCTAGGAATTGTTTGATAAACCTTTAGTTTATCTTGTTTTATGGACTAAAATAATATGAATTATCTAGTTGAACAAGTCAAAAATTAGGGTTTTAAAATGATAATCATGAACATTATCTAATTGTTGGAACTAAATAATATATTTGCTATTTTTGAAGGGATTTGATAACAAATGGATTCAAATATGAAGATTTGGATAAAAGGGATATCAAATCAGAAAAGATATGGATAGATGGAAAGTAAAACAAAAAGATTTGAAGATCTTATCAAGATTCCCAAGTTGTTAGAAGAGGGAGCTTAAGCTCCCTAAAAACGCAAATAGCTACTGCCTCTGGGCGCTTAAGCCCCCAACTCAGAGCTTAAGCGCGCCACTAGAAGAAAGTTTTTCCGCGAGGATCGCGCTTAAGCGCCCTCCATCGAGCTTAAGCGCGCAACGCGAGTCATAAATCACCATCCTAGGGCGCTTAAGCGCGCTACAACAAGCTTAAGCGCCCAGTCAGATCCAACTTAGGCCCATTCAATGTGTTTTATTGGGATACGAACTCTTGCCAATAAAAGGACCATTGGGGACCAGAAATACATAACTTTTACATTGCTAAACAACTCTTGGGTGCTTGGAGGCGGAAGGAACGCGGAGAAACATTAGATTCATGTTCGTGAGCGACGGAGACGGATCAACGTCAAGTGTTCACTGGAGATATTGAAGATCCACCAATCACCTATGGAGTTTGGGGGAGATTTTATAGTTTCTTTTGTTCTTGACTTTGCTATGTCTGGCTAGTTCTTTAAGTAGTTAGGGTTAGATGGATTTTAGTCGATTTATTATGTTTTGAACAATTCGCTGTGTTAATTTTCCTTTATATCATGAATGAAGTTATCTGTTTTTAATGCTTTATATAGGCTTGAAACTTATATAATGATCATCGGTGAATGCATGACAATAGGAATGTTGGTGTGTGATCCATATCTGATAACTTCATTGTAAACGTTATGATTCTAGGGATAGACATAGGATTTGCGTAATCTTTAAGATTCTTGAACTTAATGCTTGCATGCTTGGGGAATAACCGGGGAACTAGGGTTCTTCCAATATTGTAAAGGTTTTAGAGTAACAAGGGACTGAGCTCTAATAACATGCGAAAGAATTGATTACATTGATACTAAGGACAATTAACATTAAGGAGGAATTCAAACGTAATAAGGAGATTAAATGAAATCGAACCCCTAGCTACGTTCTTTTACATTCGTAAATCACATCTTTAATTTCTTGTCTTTAATTCTTGCAAGTAATTAGCTTTAATATTTAATATTTTAATTTTGCAATTCAAATCCTGTTTCCAAATACACTTTTGATTGTCCAACTTAAGTTGCGATAGTGAATTGGTGCTTGAACCGTAATCCTCATGGGAATGATCTCTTACTTAATCATTATATTACTTGTACGATCGGTGCACTTGCCGTGAGTAGCAAGAGTGCATTATTCCACGAGCGTTTCAAGTCGCGTATGCCTCGTGCGTGCCGTGCATAGCACAACCAACCACACATGTTTTTTTTTTTTTTTTTTTTGGAGTTACCCAACCCTAATTATCTCTTTGAGACGAGTTGGCTCCCTCCGGTATCCCCACGAGCTTCGACTCTTTGAGCCGGCTATGGAATTAATCCGAAGTGCGGGGAAACAGTGATGGCTAAAGGTTCAGCCCCCTCCCCAAGAATGCATTCTTCTTTTCAGTACTATTTACGTTACCATAACTCTCTTATTTTCTCCTTCCAGATGACCCCATAACACCTTTCATTTTTAACAAACAAGTAATACGTTTCGTATTTTAGTTTTCACCTGAAGTTTTTTCATGATTCAAGATAAAAAAAGACAAAAAAAAAAAAAAATGGGAGAGAGAGAAATAAAGATACCAATCATTAGAGAAATCGAATAATGTTGCTTGTACCACGATTATTTTTTTGTGAACGCTTGTACAATAATCGAAGTCTTTTGTCCTTTAACAGTAGTTAACCAAGTTTTCAATTGCAAATTGATATTTTTTTAATTTAGCGATTGTATTGTTATTTATATATATATATCATAGGTACGTATAATGACCAAATTATTATTAATAATAGTATTATTATTGTGAATCAAGATCTAGCTTCCAATTTACTAAAAATGATTAATGTTAATTGCTTAGAGTTCAAAATTAGATAAGGTTGTATATATATTTTTCCCTGAATTAAGTCAAACAGTTAATACACTCTTATTTTCTTTCTTTACCACATGATTTATCTCTCCTATAATTTTCACTTTCTACAACCTTATCCAAAAAAAATCATTTATCTTGTTTACATACAAATCTGATCTGGAATTTAGATTCTCTATAACATACTTGTGTATATGTGTTTTTAGTGCCGTTTGGATGAGCTTTTTTTCTTCAAAAACTATTTTTTTAAGAAAAAAAGCACTTCTCGAAAAAAGTCTGTTTGAATGCCAGTTTTTTAAAAAAGTAGAAGTAATAAAAAAAGTCAAAAATCTACTTTTTTCGGAAGCTAAAAATTTTAACTTTTTAAAAAAGCAGAAGTCAAAAGGCAAATATTTTTTTCAAAAATCAAATATTTTTTTAAAAATTTAAATAGCTGTAACTTTTATAGAAAGTATTTTTAAATTAAGGAAGTGATAAAAATAGGCTTTTTGACCACTGTAGCCCTTTATTAATAATTATTTACCAAATTGTCCTCGATTAGAAACTATTACGAAAAATTAACCCTCCAAACAAACATAACACCAATCTGCCCATGTTTGACCGTTGACCACGAAGCATACCCGGGTACCCCACTCCATACCCGGGTATATTTTAAAAAAATCAACCATACCCGGGTATGTAGTGGGGTACCCGGGTATTGTTCTTCGATCTGGAAATTTTTTGAATTATTTACCCGGGTAGGTAATGGGGTACCCGGGTAGATTTCGCAAATCCATATATTCCTTGTATCCTCAAGATTTGGTGATAATCTACCCGGGTACCTCATTACCTATCCGGGTAAATAATTCAAAAAATTTCCAGATCGAAGAACAATACCCGGGTACCCCACTACATAACCGGGTATGGTTGATTTTTTTAAAATATACCCGGGTATGGAGTGGGGTACCCGGGTATGCTTCGTGGTCAACGGTCAAACAGGGGCAGATTGGTGTTATGTTTGTTTGGAGGGTTAATTTTTCGTAATAGTTTCTAATCAAGAGCAATTTGATAAATAATTATTAATAAAGGACTATAGTGGTCAAAAAGCCGATAAAAAGGACATTCTTAACGAGCCAATACAAACGCACCCTTAGTAATTACTTATTATGGGGGTATGGGGGTAATTTACTACAAATGGTTACCAAAATTGGATTAGGTTGTCAAAGAGGAACAGGTTGTTACGTATGACTTTCTCATTATTTCCTTTGTCTCGTTCCCATCATTAGCCACATCAAAAGCATAAACAAAAATCTGGGTTTTGATGTTGTTCGGTTAAATTCTTGCGGGTTTTCTTGTTTTTTTGCAATTTGTTTGATAATGGACATTGAATCCTCTTCGGGGTCAGCTGAAAGATTCAAGCTTTACGATGAGCTGGAATTGCAGGAGTTTCAGGACAAGTTTGTGATCAAATCCCATGAATCCCCCAATCAAGGCTTCTGGATTAGCCGTCGTGATGGGAACATCAATTTACTTGATGGTAATCTTCCTCTCTCTCTCTCTCTTTTTAATTTTAATTTCAGCTTCTTCATTTCATGATTGGTTGCAGAGAAAATGCAGGAAATGTTGTTCTGTGTAGTTTGTGAATCAGTTATTCAGTTATAGCCAAAAATCACTGTTTCTTGTATTCTGAAGTTTGGTTGGATGCCAATTTTAGAAACGTGGCTGAAATTGATCACTTTATTGTAACTACTTCCTTTTTTTTTCGATTTTTTAAAAATGTTTTTGCAGGTGACATGAACTCAGAAAGTCCATCAAGGACATCTACAATTTATGGCGTGGTGGGAACAATAAGATTGGTTGTAGGTAGATATGCTTATATGCTTTTTATCTTGAGTTGTTTTTAGGGAAAAGTTCAGCACTGCCATTGTGGTTTGCTTCAGAATCATCTATGCCTATGTGATTTTTTGTTATCGTATAATGCCTCTATAGTTTGTAAAAAGTAAAAAAATCACAGGGGCATATATGATAAAAAACATACCTTTTTGGAAATCAAAGGGACATATATGATAAAAGAAAACACAGGGGCATTGATGAACATTTCCCTTATTTTTATATATACTTAATACTTGAATATGCATTTGTTTTGTCGTTGAGTCATTCATCTGTTTGTAAGTGAACCTGCTAGATTAGCTGGTATTAACATCTAATCCTGTCTCGATCCTTCTTGCGGATCTTTGTTCATTTTGGATGTTTGTTGGCCTAAGAAAAAACAAATCTAATCCTTCTTGTGCATTAATATTTGTACATACTACACAATCATGCATTTTTTTTGGTAATTGATGGCATTGATTTATCCTGCTATTGTTCTTTTTTAACCTTTCCTGATAAGGAGGGATGTACATCTAATATTTAGCCTTCTTCTCAAGTATATCATGTTGACTGCATCTGCTTTAGCATAACAAAGTTGAGCTAACTAAAAGAATTGAGATCAACTAAATTTTCTTTCTTTCTTTTTTCTCAAGTAACCACCTAGTCTAATGTGGCCTTGGTGTAGGAACCTATGCCATTGTAATAACCTCTCGGAAGGAAGTTGGAAGTTTCCTTGGTTTTCCAGTATATCGTTTGATGTCTATGAGAGTACTTGCCTGTAATGACGCTCTGAGGTTTTCAACTGCTCAAGAAGTAAGGATTTATTTAGTCAGAAGTTATTCAGGCATCATTCAAATGTTATACATGTGGTTGATGTGTAATACATCCTTTGTGTGCTATCTTTATGTAGAAAAGGGATGAGACTTACTTCATGACTCTGTTGAAAATTGTGGAGTCAATGCCAGGCTTGTACTATTCATACGAAACAGATATTACATTAAAGTAAGAGTCATGGTCTTTAAATTGCTTCTTCATTATTGTCTTAATCACATCATATTGATATCATTCCAAGGTTGATGTTCATAAGATGTACTTTGTTGTGGCCACCAGCTTGCAGAGAAGAAGCAATTTAATAGAAGGGTGGATGAGTAAGCCAATCTGGAAGCAGGTTAGTTGATATAATGTTTAATCTTCTTGGTGGATGAGTTAGTCAGGGTGGATGAGTAACCCTTAAGTGAAAATTTTTAAATTGAAATCTACTTCTTCATATCTCCATTGAGAGTGAAGCATTCTGCCACCAACATTCTGTTCATGTGTAATTGAATAGTTTTATATGTTAGAGCTATAGTTTCATATTTATCTTGTTTCATTCTGCTTATAATATTCATTTTGATCCATTGTTTTACTGCTTCTGCCATGATGTCATGGCAATGTGTCATATTAAATCACTCTTGGACCATTTCTCTAATGCATTTAATTCTAGAATAGGAAAGATCAAAAAAGGCCTCTTGCCCTGTTGACACCATTTAACGCAATTATCAGTAAAAAATTTAAGAAATTTTTAGGTTTCCTTTTTCCGTTTATTTTTCAGGCTGACCCTCGATTTGTTTGGAACAAACATCTTTTGGAGGAGCTTATTGAGTCCAAGGTTAGATAAATTTGCAGTATTTCCTGTTTTCTGATGTAAAAGTGCTTTTTTATTTCACTAAAAAGAGGAAGTGTTCTCAATGTTTTAATGAACTTCACCTTGTCATTCTTAGTATGATCATGAAGTTTTCCCCTTAACATCTATCTTTATGATGGCAGCTTGACAGATTCATCATGCCCCTAGTACAAGGGAATATCCTTAAGTTGAAATTATCTCTGCTCCCCCCTGCCTCCCTTTTGTGTGTTTGTGTGTGCGTGTGTGCATATGCTTTCCATATAATGTCAGTACAAGAAAATGATGTAAATAAAGTTATACATTCATTTTAAGAAGCAAGTTATGTTCTCCCTTAACTGGGGCTTAAGTTTCCAAGTGGCTGAACTGAAGCTAAAAGAGTCATGTGCTACGGTAACATTATTTTCAAGGAGATGTACACGGCGTCTAGGTACAATGTCCAAAGATGCTTCCTTGTTATGATAAAAGCATAATAAATTTGCAATAGCTCATTATAATATGGCAATATGGTGACACAGGAACAAGAATGTGGAGAAGGGGAGCTAACCTCGAAGGTGACACTGCCAATTTCATTGAAACTGAACAGTTGCTTGAAATTGAAGAATTCAGGTCCTCATCTTTGCAGGTATTATTATGCATTAGTGAGTATAAACTTCCAGTAATTCCTTTCAATAGTTTCTCCTCATAGCTGGTTATGTTTTCCTACTAGCATATTGTCCATGTTTCTGAGAATTTGTGCATTTGTCAAACATGCTGAAAGACTTTGAATACGAAGTTTTCAAATATTGATAATATATGTGCAGAATATATAGCTTCACTATTTTATTTGCAGTACAAAATTTAGTTTTGTGTGTTAGGAGATGTATCTAATTTTTTTAGTTTCAATTTAGAGATCATTGTTCCTTACTTCTTCTAGGTTTTGTTATCCAATGAAATTTAATATCTATCGACAACTGGAATTTAACACTGTTTTTGCTAGCATATAAATTGGGGTAAAGCAATTTAAAAAAAAAAAATGGTTAATGAACATTAGGTATCCTAGTTTCCATAGAACCTCTTTTATCTGCAAACATCATATTTATGGCCTCCCAGTTTATGATTGTACTCTGATACGACACGTGAAGGTGTATGGTAGGAGGCATCATAGGGGAATAATTAACCATGGGAATATTCTGGAAGATAGTGCATGTAATTAATTGAGTATTCTGTTATGTAGATGCAGACGTGGCTAAGTTGGTTAGGATAGGGTTATATGAGGCGTTGGGCATGTGAAGGAGGGGAGCTTGGAATTGGAACTTGGAACTTGGACTTGGAGAGCTCAGCATCTCTCTAATCTGCTGATCTTTAGCTTTTTCCTTTCAGTAAACAGCATTGCTGTGTAGTACAGTAGTAGTTGTTTTTCTGAAATTTCCATTACTGCAACCTTTTTGTTCCTTCAATATACAGAAAATCCAGATATTTATCTGGGCCAAAAGCAGCTTGAGTTCTTTAAATTCTTTGTTATCTTATCCAATCCTATCATACTCAAATTTGTTTTGCAGATTCGAGGTTCAATTCCTCTTCTGTGGGAGCAGATTGTTGATCTAAGCTATAAACCGCACCTTAGGGTTATTAGTCATGAGCAAACAGTACACTTCTATTTCTCTAAATTGCCAGCACTTTAATGGTTTTATTATGAGGTTTATATTAATACATGTTTCTTTTGTTTTTCCCCCTCTGCTCTTGCTTCAGCCAAATATTGTGGAGCGTCATTTTCATGATCTCTCACAAAGATACGGAGAGGTAGTAGCAGTTGATCTAACTGATAAAGTATGTCTTCTATCTGTTTTCTTTCTACTCTAATCAATGTATTTTTCACAAATTTATTTCATGGATTTATTATGAGTCCAAAGATTTGCTGCATCTTCTTGATGCTATGGAGGCAAGGATATTCATGATTGAATAAAAATGTGTTTGGCTTTCAAAGAGGCTTCAAACAGGGTGCTACTTTTCCAGCACCCCTTTTCTTTACCCCAAAATTTTAAGTAGGGAAATGAGGATATGGATTGGCTGAGTTTGGTTAGCATGTCCTTGAGCATACATATCATCCTTATCCAGTCTCTACAGCCGATTCTCCCTTTTATCTGCTTTTAAATTTGTGTATAATTTTATTTTGAGTAATTTCTTTTTAATTTTACTGTTGTAGCATGGTGAAGAAGGTCAATTAAGTGCAGCATATGCTGCTGAAATGCAAAATCAGCAAAATGTGAGGTGATAATTTAGATTTCTTTTTTCCTCAAACACTTGTATTACAACCTTGTGATTATGGAGTTTGCTTTGGTTGTGTTATAGCTTAAACTAGATCAATGTGTTTGATATCACTATTTTGTGCCTCATGTTTTTGTCTTTACCTTTTTTGGTTCTATGACCCACATTATGGCAGATATGTGTCTTTTGATTTCCATCATCACTGTGCGAGCTCAAACTTTGATAATCTGAAAATCCTCTATGATCAAATCTTAGAAGATTTTGAAAAGCAAAGGTAATGAAAAAATTCAAGTATTTTATACAAATTTAATAGCTAGTTGCCACAATCCAGATATGCTGGCAATCTATAATTCAGATTTTAATCATTGCTATTTCAGCTGAGCAGATACTTCTTGATAGATAGAAAAGGAAATGTACTAGAGGAGCAGAGAGGAATTATCAGAGCAAACTGCATCGATTCCCTTGATCGAACAAATGTAACTCAGGTTTGCTGATAAAGGATTAGTTAATTTCTTGGACTTGTTCTTTTCTCAATCCTTGTCTGATTGTCCTCCACCCTGGAAGATGTCTAACATGTCCAGTTGTATAACTGCTTGTTTTGACTATGTTGTTGCTCTTTGTACTTTGTAGTGTTATCTGGCCCAGAAGTCATTAAATCTACAGTTGCAGAGGATTGGAGTGCTTACATTGTCTGAGTGCATTTCAATGTTTGGCGAGGAATATGGAAAATTTAGAATATGTATGGAATTTCTGGTTAATTTCTTTCATTCTTCTTTATGAATTATTGTCCCTGCATATTTGAACTCTATCTATTTTATTTAGTGTGGGCAGAGCAAGGTGATGAGATAAGCCTTGAGTATGCTGGGACTCATGCTCTCAAAGGGGACTTAGTTAGGTATGAAACTTTTGGTACTGAATTTCTGTGTTCCTATTTTCCCTTCTATACTGGTAAATTTTGAAAATATGGTGTAGATATGGAAAACAAACAATAGCTGGAAAAATTAAAGATGGGATGAGCGCAATTTCACGATATTACTTGAATAACTTCACTGATGGGATTCGGCAGGCAAGTTCATTTAACTTTCATGATGCAATTATTTATTTATTTTTTGCTGAGCCCAATTGGTTTGGAATAAAAGTGTTGTTGTTGTTGTTGTTATTCTTGCCACTCATTTAAGTGAAAGGCGCTCAATCTCAAAGGTTTAGTAAGCTTCGTATCTTTTGCAGGATGCCCTGGATCTGATAAGCGGTCACTATACTGTCAGCAGAAATGCTCCTTCTCCCTTGCAGCCCAATAGCTTTGAACCTTTTTCTGTAAGTAGCATCAGAGCCTAGTCTCTCTCTATTTTCTACCACCCCAAATCCTGAAGAATAGTAATGAGTTGTGGAAGCAAATGAGCCAACCTTGTTTAGGTTGAGACTTGAAAAAGAAAATGAGCAACCCCCAATCCATTCAATAGATCCTATCATATCTATTAACCTTGTCATTTTGTGGATGTCCAAGTTAATCTCCCCTTGTACCCAAACGGGGAGAGGGATGGAATAATGTAGAAGCTGTTTTAGTTTCTAGAGATCATTGTTGACATAAATGGGATGACCATCTATCCTGAGCCTGAGAGCCAGTTCTAATTTTATGACATATCAAAAAAAAAAAAATTTGGTGGGGTCATACCAAAAAATTTTACTTTATGCATTCTGGTATATAATTAACCTTAGCAGATTCTTTTGAAAGAATACACATACCCAAAACCTAACAAATTCTTGGCAAGCCTTTTCATCACACATAAATTTAAATGCTGTTTATGGACATAGATAACATTACACTCCATCTTCTTCTTTTTTTATAAGTGAGTTTACACTTCATCTTTTAGAATGGCTTGTAAAACAAATTTTCAGTGGCATTGACATGTTTCATAGAAAACTGTGAACATGCAGTACCTCCCTGTGGCATCAGCTTTGATAATTGGAGGTTTGACAGCAACAACCTTCACTCTTCAGCAAGGTATATAATTTTGTGTTTCTTCTGTCTAAATAAAGGTCCTTGATGCTTACTTTGGTTCTTTTCTTTTCTTGTTTATTTTATAAACTTGGTTGTGAAAGTTTCTTGTTTTTTTTTTCTCTAGCGGGCCGAAATGCACAGCATTATGTGTCTTCTGTATTCTTTGCTGGAATAACTGCTGGGGTCATGGCCATTGTTAAAGCTAATGGAAGGCAATTATGTTCAAGGCCCCGTTTGTGTGGTCTCTTGTGATACAAGTAATTATGGTTCTTTACCACCCCTTTGATCAAAATGTCAAAAATTTGTGTGGCCTCATTCTAGGTGATTGTAAATATGATGTTATGTTGATAAATATATTGTTCTCGGATAGGTAGCTATGCATGAACTGCTGATATCAATTGGTACATGCGCCTATTCAATTGTCCAGCTGTTGGTTAAGATCAACATATAAAGCAAAAACGGAAAACAAAATTAAGGTTGCTCAAAGTTGCTAGGCTCAAAGGGGTATGATAAAAAGTAGTATTTATCAATGGTGGAAAATGTACTTTCAAATCACTTGATACCATTGTAATGATCATATAAATTATAATTGAGTTAGTCTTGGAGCAGTGGTAAGGTTGTTATTTATTATCAAAAGATTACAATTTTGAGTTTGGTTTTTGCAAAAATTGCAAAGACAAGTTTGCATATAATTTATCCTCACCCTTATTTTCGTAATCTTGTAAATCAGAGTTTGTCCTTATAAGTGTAAAATAATTTATTTATTTTTCTAAAATTTATCTCAAACAACCTCACTCAACTTTAATCAGAAGGGCAGAAAATGAAAAGGGAGAACAAATGCCATTCATGCTCAATTATCCAAACGGTCCATACATCCTTGTTTGTGCTCACAAGCTCATCATTGCTAACTGCCAAGGAACCAAACTATGTAGGGTTATTCTCCTGCTAGTATTCAACAGTGATAGCTCACACTCTGAGACCACATTAATCTAAAAGACAATAGACGCACCAAAATGGAGAAATAAACCAGAAACCCACTTGTATTTGAAATGTTCACTGGCTCCTGCCCACAGTATGTGCCTTTGCAGTTTTTGCTTGTTTTGATCTTGTCTCCTTTTTAACCATTGCTATAAATTCCAATAATTGCCACATGTGTTAAGCCTTTTGCTTCTTTTTCTTTTTTTCTTTTTTCTTTTTCCTATGAATTTGTGTGTCATCTACTTAATTGACTTGATTTTTTCTGCCTATCTTTTTCACTTAGAACTTGGAAGGATACCAAATGCCATGCTTTACACAATCTCTTGATTTATCGTACGAATTTTTTTTAGTCCTGATGTCTTCTTTTAACATTATCATGTCATATAAAAATTTTAAGCCATTTAATGACAGATTAACAGTCATAATTTTAATGAAAAATTTCATAAATCAGAGAAAAGAAAATGATCATTTTAATCGTTGAATGTTGATTTATGAATAAATGACTAAACTTTTTCATGTAATATATTCTCTTAAAACAAGATATGAGAAAATTCATTTTCAATTTTTGTACTGTAATGTAATGAATCCTTCATGTGGGATAAAAAAAAAAGAGGGGAGGATAATACGAACCTTTAACAGAGCCTTAACCTCAAAGTTAGCTCATAAAATATGAGAGTTCAAAATTCATATAAATCTCACATTAGTCACTCATATAACTAATGTGAGATTCAAGTCTTATACTTTGCAATTAGATCGTAACATAAGAACGTCTGTACCAATGCTTAGCCCCAAAGAAAAGTAGAGAACAGACCTTCTGAAGAGAATCTCAGTTAACTAAAAGTTATGGCCAAGGGAATAGAGTTGGCAACATGCTCAAAGTTTTCTACCATTATATAATTAAAATTTTGAAGGGCTTCAGTAACAAGTCCACTCTTTATTTTCATCTGTCACCGCCAAGGAAGTATCTAAAGTATGTCTCAATAAAATAGTTTGATAAATGTCATTTGATATGAAAAAAATGTTTCACCTACTATAATCTTGTTTGAGCCTTCCAAATGATTATTAAGCAGTTTTACTTATGTGCACTATCAAAGTACAAAACTAACATAACAATGGTTAGAGTCATAATGATGTATAATTATATTTTAGGACATTACCTTTTTCATCCTAATTTCGGATCCAGAGTAATTTTTTTTTTTAATTTATGAGAAAATTGTACTACACTTTTAGTGTCAATTTACAATTTTTTTATTCAAACCAGTTTAATGTAATTGGGATTCATATTAAAAAATGGATCTCTCAACATTAATTTTTCATAAAGTAACAATTTTTATTAAATGGTATAGTTGTCACAGCCGAGCAGAGTACCCTTTCTATTCTCAGTCTTACTTGGCACCATTTCTGAACTTCTCTATCTTACTTGGCATGAAACTAACAGTGTAAACAAAGACAGCAACTTAAGGTAGCATGCCATTTGCATGTGTCACCATGTCAACCGATTAATCCCATTATCAAGCATGAATCAAAAAACCAAAATCCCAAATACCTACAACAACCCCCCATCATAATTGAGCACTTCACATGAAGAACCAACCCCACAACTAACTCATCAAAATCCTCAACTGCAGTTCATCCCCCCTTACCCCATTTTCTATTTCACATATTTTTATTTTTTTTTAGCATTAACACTTTCCTCAAAACGAAGCATGCGGCGACAAATTGCACCGAAACCAAACCCCTCACCACTATTTCTATTATCTCTGCTTTCCTAACTTTAACACCGCTCAACTCTGTTTTGCTCCAAATGACTCTGTTTTCGCCATTAGGCTTCTCTTCCAACCACCATCCAAACAATGCTTCAACACTAAGAAAAACAATAATTTCACATACCCTTTTGAACAAAACTCACTTTCCCAACAACCCTATTGAATCACATGCTCTAATCACCACCCACCATACCATATTCTCCATTTTCATTCACCATCTCTCTCTCTGTTTCTCTCCCCTGAATACATAGATGACTAATAATGCAAATGTTGCTTCATTTGAGGCATTTCTCCAAGGTTGGATGTTGCGCCAAAGAGACTACCTTGACGAGCTTATCTCAACTCAGCAACAACATCACGAGATTCAAGATGATGCTGATAGGAGACAATTGATAAACAGGGTCCTCTGCCACTATGGGCAATACTATGAAGAGAAATCAAGGATTGCCCACCAAAATGTTCTGCTTGTTTTCTCACCACCATGGTTCAGTTCATTGGAAAGAACGTTTCTTTGGGTGGCGGGGTTCAAGCCCGGAATGGCTTTTCAGGTTGTGAACATGGCTTTGGAGGACTTGTCAGAAGAGCAGAGGCAGAGGTTGAGTCAGCTCAATGAAGAGACCAAGATGGAGGAGAGAGGCCTCAATGACGAGTTGGCAAAGGTTCAAGAGAGTTTTGCAGCGCCACCGTTGTTGGACATGGCCAGAAGCCATGGCAGGGTGTGTTTGAGTAGGTCCTTCATGGAAGAGGAAGGTTCAGTTCCAAGCAATTTCAAGGAGACATTGGAGAATCTTGTTACAAATGCTGATGCTTTGAGGAGAAACACAGCTTTGAAAGTTGTGAAGATACTGACATTAGATCAGGTTGTAACCTTCTTGGTTGCTGTTGCTGAGCTTCAACTCAGGATCAGGTCTTGGGGTTTGGATAAGGATTCCAGGAATGAAGGCCAAGGATGAATAATGGGAATTTGAAGGCTTTTTTACAGTAAGGTTGTTTTGTTCTTTTTGTTGTTCTTTATTTTATTTTATTTTTCATCTTTTCCCTTTTTTTCTTTCTTCATGTTTTTTAATTTGGTTTTATTTCTTGGAAACTGGTTTGAGTTGTGTGATACATAGGCCTTAGCAGTTAGCACCGATGATGATGATGATGATGTGCATTCAGGATTTGATGGTGTTGGGTTATGCCTGCCTCTAATGATGTTTCTCTCTAGCTGAAGGTTCTTTGATGAGTAAGCATTGAGCAATGATGAACAAGATCATGCCATGCAATGCATGCTTTAGGGGCTAGAGCATTACTCTAATTAGCATCTCAGTACCTAATAGAGAGACAAGCACTCCAGAATATCCAATAAAACAGCTTCTTCAGATTTCATTTTTTGGTTGCTATATTTACCATAGTAGATACCTAAGAATTGTTTACTTTTCTTATTTGTATATTAAGCATGTTTTGGAGTGAAGAACTTGGTTGTATAGGGTGTGGAACCTTAAAAAAATCACTTTTTCAATATCCCAAGCACTTCTGCATTGCATCAAAGCAGGTTTCTCTCTAGTGGGATCTTTTTGGTCATTTCCTCAACACACGATTCATTCACACAGCAAGAGCAGGGGAATGCTGAATGCCAAATGTCCAAAGTAGCAGTTTCAAACATTGAAAATCTAGCAGATATTCTCCATAGCAATCTCCCAACAAAAGAAAAAAGAGCAGAAGTATACTGGGAATAATATCCAAGATCATTATTTTTCATTTCACTGTTTTGTTGTCATCATATACACAAAACATTTTGTCTAATTATTGAGTGCTTATGGATTGTTACTTAATCACAAAGACATAAACCATTGGGGTCCAATAGTCTCTGTAGAGGAACACTTTTACACGTTCACATTCTACTTCGTTGAGGAACCGGCTTAAAGTTAGCAAAACCAGTAACTTCCCTGCCTGTGACCAAGGTGTTGATGTCATACGTGCCTTCGAAGGTATAGATAGGTTCTAAGTCACAGAATGCCTGCAGCATTAGAAAAGAAAAGCATAAAAAATAAAATGTCAGAAAACAAAAATGATGTAGGAACATGTGGTCAATCACTTGTAAAGTATAGAAGTGCTAATTGGTTTGTCTAGTAATGATTATAATATGCAAGCTCATATTTTAATTTAAGCCTTCCCTTAATAAATCAAGTAAAGTCACAAGGATTAGGAGACTTGAGTTCATGATTCAAACTTCAGTATCACTACTGTACCAAAGAATAAATCAAGGAAAGATCATCATGAGACAAATGGCCTTCCATTTCCATCTCCATAAAAAAAACCCATTTATTATATTAGATTTCATGCCGGGTATAAAATCAATTCTGGTGAGAGCTTTTAGTATAATGATAGATTATATAATTTATTTATACTTAATTTTTGGTGAGAGCTTTGGAAATGTAATATCTACTAAAAATCTATTATAGAATCACCACATTTTAACCTAGATCAGATTGGAGATTCAACAAGATAAATCTTAAATTAGGAATTAGGCATGAGAACCTTTGCCACTAGAAAATCAGCCAAAATTCCATTGCCACCAAGCAATTCTCGTCCCAGGGCAGCTGTTTCCCTTGCCCTCAAGGAGATCCATGACTGAAAAATGATGACAATTTATTAGCAGTTACATACCACAATTAACAATAACATCATTAACAATTAGCATGTTTTCCCTTGCCCTTAAATTTTAATTACTTGGTGGTTTATTTTTAGTTTATTTTATTTTGTGAGTGTAGGGATGATTACAAATGTGGATAGGTTAGGAATTACCTTCCCCAAGCTTGCATGACCATGAGTCAGTTTACCACTGTCATACAACTTGCACAAGCGCCAACCAACAAGAATCATTGCTTGAACATTACTAAGCATTTGAACAAGTTTCTGTTGGTTGATTTGGAAAGCTGCTAATGGTGCTCCAAACTGTTTCCTCTCCTTTAGGTACCTTTTAATCACACAGAATGAAGAATAATTTGCAGTGAAAGCTTTCATTGAAGTATATTTAGCATGCTATTGAAGAATACCTATGGCACATATCATAGATGCCCATTGATACACCAATTGGTTGCCAAGCAACCATTACACGCGAAACAGCAAGAACCTGTTTTGAGATAGCTAAAACAGATAAGCAACATGTATATTGTAGACAAAATACAAAATACAAGATAAGGAAAAAGAAAATTAGACTGTTTTTGTAAAGAATCAATTCAACTCAAAAGCTTAAGTTGATGAGAGAGGCTATATTAATGGTTTTATATTTCTCTAACACGTCCCTCACACGAAAGCCCACTGGGCTTGAAGGGTGGACACTGCATAAACCCACCTACTTGTGCTAAGAAACTCCAATTAAATGGAGGCGGTGAGAAACGAACTGTGACACCAAGCTTCTGATATTATGTAAAGAACCAATTCAACCCAAAAGTTTAAGTTGATGGAAGAGGCTACATTAATGGTTTTATATTTCTCTGACAGTTTTGTTTTCAAAAGCATATATAATTATATTTACAAAAAAAAAAAATGTTCCTCTAAAGGAAAAATAAAGATAAGAATCATGCATTAGGGTGGCATATTCAATAGGATGGACAGGAAATTTGCCTTCTAGTGCACTGGCAACAATTGGGTGGCTGTAGAACCAGACAAATGGTGATCTTGTTCATAACCTAAGATATGCAGAATCCTAAGATAAGAAAATGCAGCAACTGGCTCTAAATGGACACAAGAACCAAGATTCACAAATGCTCTACTACTTCATCCGGTAGTAGAAGTTACATAAACAACAAAACTTATAGCAGTCATTTTTATCATTGAAATGATGAAATCACACAATCATTATTGAAGTAAAAGCAGAGAAAAGAACCATACTAATTTTTACCTTGTTTGTGTCCTGAAAAGAATTGACTCCTGCTATTCTGTCCTCGTCAGGGACAAAAACATTCTTCAAAACTATGTCTCCATTTTGTACGATCCTAAGTCCAATTTTATTCTCTATCTTTGTGGCTGTTAAACCAGGTGCATCCTTTTTTACTATAAATCTGAAATAAAAGGTATAATAAAAATATAAATAAGAAGAGTACTTGTGAGAAAGGACAGAAGAGCATCAAGAAAATATAAAGCCTAAGAAAATATAATGCCTCACTAGAATGTCTATGATATAGTGAAAAAAATTAAAAGAGAGAAATTTCTCTTCACTGGTTTTTTATATATGTATGAAGTTCTAGCCAGGTAATGGGCATACATTGGATTAACATTCACTCTATCAAAGATCAAGACATTCACATCCATGTTAATCATTGCACTCATTCCTTCTTTAACCAATCGGGATTTAACATTAAGGACACATAACAGGACTAAGGATACATATTATGTACCCATTTATTTGATTTGTTGTGGTATTCCTGGCAAAGATAACCAACAAATCAGCAAATGTACTGTTTCCTATCCACCGCTTTTGGCCCTCAAGGATCCAACCTCCTTCAACCTGATCTTTTCAATGCCAAAGCAAGAATACATTATTGAATTTCTGAACAATTGAACACAGTGAAAATATGTCTCATTAAAAAGACAAATAAATCAAAAAGAAGCAAAATACAATTAGTAGATAAGACGCATTAAGGCACTGGACCTTTGTTGCTGTAGTGTTCAAAGCACTGGCATCACTTCCATAGTTGGGTTCAGTCAAAGCCTAATGAAAACAAAACAACCACTTTTAGAAGTGGTACTTCAGAAACATGATACAAATCATTTCAAATCCAAAGAATGTAACTTACCCAACATGCTATAGTTTGTAGCTGCGCCAAAGAAGGTAGATACTTTTGCTTCTGAGCTTCAGACCCACATAATGCTATGCTTGGAAGTTAATCAAAGATATGAGATATCAGGAACTATGAGTAACTATTGCCAAAACAATTACCATTGAGAGAGTTATTATTAACAAACAAAAATATTATATTACCAATAGTGAGCATTGCCAAGGCTGAATGGACCAAAATGAAAGTTGAACAGCTTGCATCAACTCTAGCAACTTCTGCTGCAGAAACAGCACTTCCGAGTATGGAAAGACCAGGACAACCATAACCCTGAGAAATCATTCAGAGCTAGCTATGAGCTCCTATTGCAGTGTCTTACACCTAACTAACTAAGACTAAAATATATAAATAGAGAAACCTTGATTGTGCCACCAGCAATACGAAGTGCAGCAAACTTTGGAATAACATGAAATGGGAATTCAGCCTTTTCCCAGTACTGCTAAAACAGCATGAGATTAGTTGTTAGGAGGATATTGAAAAAAAGATAACATTATTACAGAATCTTTTGATATTATACATAAGAGTAAAGCACTTTACTCTTCTGTTTGGATATATGTTGTATGATTGTTACTGTATAGTTATGTTAGTATTAAACAACTATTTTACCTAAAAGTTCAAGTTCTTGAGTGAAGACCATTTTAATGATTTTATATTAGATTTCTTTAACATACCTCCTCACGTAAGAGCCTAATTGGCTTGAACAGTGGATAATGTACCTAAGTAGCTATGATACTATATTAAATAACCATCTCACCTAAAAGCTCAAACTGCAAACTGCAAAAATAATTTTATATTAAATTTTTCTAACAATTAGTTACATCTGTGTTGAACTATCTTGAGGCAGTTATATCTTACAGCTTGCTTTTGATTGTAGTCTATATATATCAGTTCCGAGATTCAGAACTGCATCTTTGTAATTACACATCAATACAGTGTTTCCATTTTCTCTCTGTTTCTGTCATTTTCCTCTCTCTTTTTTCTCTTCTATATTAACTCTTTTACTATAGATACTAATCCCCTACACAAAAATAAAATAGAGCAAACATCAAATTTGGTCATCTGAAAATACTATTATCATCAATTTCCTCTTCCAAAAACAAATACATTACAAATGGCGCTTTAATTTCAAATTTTTTTTCCCATCAAATTGGTCCTTCAATATAAAAGTTTTATGACTAAATGTACAATCTGGTCCTAAAAGATTTTTCTTGTGTTGCTTTGGTCCATCTATACATATTGCTAGCAAGTTGATAACTTCGGAGACAAGTTTGTATATAAAATTGTTCTTTTGGGACCAAAGCAACATAAGTAATATCTTTCATGGAACAAATTGTACACTCACTCATGCTGAAGGATTAAAATAGATATTTATTTTAAAAAAATAACAAAAGCAATAAATAATTAAAATAAAAATAAAAAACATGCCTGGGTCATTATGGGAGCAATATCTTTTTCCATACAGTCTCTGACTTTGTTCCTAATGGCCTGCTCCTCCAGTGTCAATAAGTCATCGAATTGAAAATAATCCGAAGCTGCACTTTCCAACAAAAAAATCAATCAACTCACTACTCAGATAGAAAATGCAAGTGAATCCCCCAACCAAATCATATTTCGTTTTTTTTTTCTTTTTTCTTTTGGAAGATCAATCATATTTCGTTTAAAGTTAATAAAGTTACTATGATATAACAAGGAGTGAATGTAGATAAACATTCATTATCAAAATGGTGGTTTTAGGTTGAAATATTAAAAAATTATAACGAGAAAGATTATTATAATCTTGAAATAAATTATAATTAGAAAGATACCTTGATTTTCATCCAAAACGACGTCGTTTTGAGTTTAATGTAAATAATTTATCTAATTGACTGCAGAAAAAATGAATCCTTAATAATATAATTAAAATGGGATAGGTTATTCTACCTATTATTTTTTCTGCCTATTTTTGTTCACCATTCTCCAATACCACTAGATCAGAATCTCAAGAGAATAGACAAAAATAAAGTAAAGACTAGTCTAATGGTATTTCAGAGTGGCTTACAAAAGTAGACAAAAAAAATGGTAGGTAAAATAACGTATTCCAATTAAAATATTGGGATTAACGTTTCTCATGTTTGTAGGAGATAAAATTATCTCCTACACACGTAAAAGTGTGTACTGTAGGGCCTGTGTTTTTCTTTTCTCTCTCTTCTCATGACCCCATGTTTTTTCTTCACATAGTTACACATGTGCCCACACGCTTTTATGTGTATAGGAGATAATATTATCTTTAAAAACATCGCAAATGTATTATTCATTCTTGGAAAATTGGATGAGTTTATATGTTAATTTACTGTTACCTACCACAAGGAGGAAATGTAGAGGCTGGAGTGGCTTGTGGAAATGCCACAGAAACATCAAGTGCTGGTAAATTAAAATACGAAGGCAAACTCACATTTGCATTCTTATCTGTCACAACAGAGAATCAAATCAATGTATTCAAATTCATGCAATAATAATAGTAATAATAGTCCTCAAAAGAAGAAAATAATATAATAAAATAATATAATGATCGTATTAAATGGATCTGAAAATCAAACCAGAAAAATATAAAGAGACCTGGATTCGTATGAGTCATGGCGCTAGACACGAACACAGAGAAGAGAGAATGTTGTTGTCTCTGTAAAAATGAAATCAAATTGTTGAACGTAACGAACTGATTTTCAGATATTCTTATGAAAGAAGTTTTCTCGTAAATAATAATATATTAAAAATGAAATTACATACAATTTCATAGTCAAATATGTTTTTGCTTGGTGGTTTTTATGGACCTATTAATATATCACACATATGACTCGTAGCTTAATGGCTCAAATTTATCGTATGATATGATGATTTAAGTACCCCTAAGTCAGAATAAGGTTGCCAAGTCTCATAAAGAATGAGTGAACACCTCCTCAACTAATAGATTAATCCCTCTCGAGTTAAAAATAAAAGAGGCATTGATTTGTTTATCAAAAAAAAAAAAAAAAAAAAAAAAGAGGCATTGATTTAAACTAAAATCATTTGACAATAAGCTCCTTCATCAATTGCTAGTTACTAACACTAGCTCCAATCTCTTAAAGATTAATGATGATGTCCGAGGTTCAATTAGGTAACTAGTTTGGAAATATTCTCAGCTGCAAAGGGATTTTTTTGACTTTATTAAAAAGTCTTATTCTTCATCTTAATTGTTGATTTTCATCATCTAATGACTACAATTTGTTTTAAATTAATAATTAATTGATATAAGTCAATAAACTATAACCATTAGATTGTCAGAAATCAATGACTGAGATAGAGAGTAAGACTACTTAGTATGTCTTACACTATGGTTAAAAGATTTCCGCAGAAGGCTAGTGCGACTCCAATACTTGAAAAGAAAAAAACTTTCGCAGAAGTTACCCACAAGGAGGAATATGATGTTGGATCTCACACTTGAGGAGAGGATGTTGAAAATAATCAAGTGTGAGTAGTGATAAAGTCTCGCACCGATTAGAAATGTTCTAAGGGAGTACCATATAAGTGCAAAAAGTATCCATATAACTTGAGCCTTAAGATTTTGAGTTTGATTGTGGTGTTCCGAGTCCACTTAATGTTGCTGCTCACTTGGCCCATGGTTAGCGGTCTCTCCCCTCCATGAGCTCCTCATGCACGGCTCAACAAGTGGTATCAGAGTCAATGGTGAATTGGTCTGTGGTGATCCGAGTATTTGAAGATATGTGAGAGCAGGGTCTATATGCTTGTAGCCAAACCTTCATGAATACTTGAAAAAGCCTCTTCTGCTTGAGAGGAAAAGAATGTGAGCCTACGACTCACACTTGAGGGGGAGATATTGAGAAATCAAAGTATGAGTGGATGAAGTCTCACGTTGCTAAGAATAGATCAAGTGAGACCCATCATCATCTTTCTCTTATGGCAATTTTTGTGGAAGTCTTTTCTTTTTAAGTATTGGAGTTACACTAGCTTTCTGTAGAGGCATTGAAATATTTCCATCTCCAAATACTCGATCAAGCCAAACTGTTGACTCTGATACCACTGATAGACGATTAAGACTCTAAAAATTGAAACATATACAAAATACTAAAAAAGGGAATGTTTCATCTTTCTCCAATACACTAAGCCTATTAAAAGGCAAAACAAAAAATATAAAATATTAATGAAGAGAGTCGTTACAATGTTAATCAAGAGTTTCATTACACCATATCATCAACTACACCCACCATTAAGCATAATATTATTTAACTTCATAACTAATACAAGAAAATCAAGAGACAACTGACTCTTCAACATTCTAACTGACACAAGAAACTATACGGATATTTCAATACATTCTTGTTATAGTATCATGTGTCACATAAAATAATAGAAGGGTAATATATCGGTACTGTCACAGGAATTTTTTTTTTCTTTCTTCCTACAGAGACAATTTTCTCTGGACCCCATGCATTGTGTTTTCTCTCTCCTTTTATTATTTTCTCTCTCCTAAATTATTGTGTCTACAGGACAATTTTCTTTTTTCCTACAAAAGCATGGATGCATTCCCCATAATAGAATTATACAAAATAACCGAACCAAGCTAAATTATTATTATTTTTTTGGAAAAGTTCACCAATGCCCACGTGGTTTACTTCAGAATCACTTATGCCCCTGTGGTTTTTTTCTTATCACATATGCCCCTGTGGTTTGTAAAAGGGTATGTTTTTTATCACATATACCCCTGTGGTTTCTTATTATTTACAAAGCACAGGGGCATATGTGATAGAAAAAAAACCACAAGGGCATAAATGATTCTGAAACAAACCACAGGGGCATTGGTGAACTTTTCCTTTTTTTTTTGAACCAACTTAAGAACTGAAATATTTTTATAAATTGATTTAAATATTGAACTGAAACAAAAGAACTGATTTAGAAAACCGATTTGATTCAGAACCAGTTAAGAACTAATTTGCATATCCGAATTGGTTCTAAATGGGTTTGAAACCGATTATAAATCATGAACAGATTTCAAATCAGTGTAGAAAAAATAAAACCAGTTTGGATTAAATAAAACAATTTGGTTCTTGGAATTGAAATAAATTGAATCAATTCAATTTAGTTCAGGAAAAAAACCGATTCTGGTCCAACCATACCCGTGTAAAATATATGGATAACATTTTTTATTATTATTATTCATCAGTAATGATCAATATTAAATTTTTAAATTTGTCGTTAGAGCAAGGGCTATAGTTTAGTGTCCAATGTAGCTAAAGTAACAATTTTCAACATATACAATATAAGAACAGGAAAAATGCTGGTCACAAGAAGATTTTTATATGAAATGTAGTGTCAATGATGACATGAAACAGCTAAATAAAAGATGGGAAATATGTATCTCATTTTGTACGAAACAATTTTATTTTATATACATATAAAAAATAAATAAGTTTAACTTTTTTTTTTTAATGGGTTCCATCAACTTTTTGTGTGTTGTTGTCTTATGTAAAATAAGAAACATATTTCCCGTGAAAAATAAATTAATTTATTGGGTCTTATGAAAGAAATTGATAATGATGGTTGCGAGTCCTATAAAAAAGTAGGGTAGTGTGGCTGTAAAAAATCATTTCTTGTGAAATTGGAATATAATTTTTCATATTACATGAGATAAAATTATTTTATGTATATATATAAAAATAGATAATACCTATTAAAGAGAAGAGAAAAAAAAAATAAATGGATTTCACCCGCCCTTTTATGTATACATAAAAACAAAATTATTGTTTACCAAAAAAAAAAAAAAAAATTATCTACATAATAAACTACATTCCCATCCATATCTATCTAGCAAAGTAATGGACATATAAAACTTTTATTTAATTTCGATAAAATGGAGATGCGGGGTATCGATCCCCGTACCTCTCGCATGCTAAGCGAGCGCTCTACCATCTGAGCTACATCCCCGCCTTTGATATTAACACAGCAAAATTATTCAAATAAAAAATAAAAAATGAACAGGTTTTTGATTTTTATCATAAATTAAAAAAAAAGGGTATCAAATACTATTATTATTTATTATTGCATTGACTGGTCGATGAGCTAAAAAATTAAAAAAGTTTTGATTTTTGATCCAAAATGAAAATAATAAGCATTGGAATGATCAGTACAACAAAGCAATCCAAATTCTGAAAGAGAACAACAACAACAACAACATCATCATCAGCAACCATGTTTGCAAAGAGGTTGTTGCACAAGGCCGTACTGCACCATTCTAACGTAAATAACAAACAATCTACACCTTTTCTGGGTCTCCGTCCTTTGTTGTTGTTTTTTGATTTTTTGTGTTTCAAATTTTGAATCTTTCTGATTTTGGGTTGTGTTTTTTTTTTTTTTTTTTTTGTTCAGCACAAGTTGCAGCATGGTACTTTGCAGCCAAGTGAATTGGATCCCAGAATTGTCATTCACTATGGCATTCCATCTACTGCTTCACTTCTCGCCTTTGACCCCATTCAGCGACTTTTAGCTATTGGGACATTGTTAGTTCATTGTCTTTCTCTCTCTCTCTTTGTTTTTTTATTTTTTATTTTTATAAATTGGGTATAATACAAAACCTGTGTGCTACAATAATGTTGCTCACTTTTCATTTATACTAAAATTTTAATATTGCTCCTTTTTTTTTGTTCATTTATACTATAGTTGTTTAGTAATTGCAGTCTGAACTGCTCCCATTGCATAAAATAAATGTTATTTTAGTTAAAATGGATTCAGCAATTTAGAAATATTTAACCTTTGGTTATTGTAATTATCCATGATAAGTAATTTAGTTCATTTTAATCTCTGAAGAGGATTTATTTTTTGTTGGTGGATAAGGGAGGGTTCTAGTTGTTGGGTGATGCCTATGTTCTTTTTTAGTATAGAGATTCATTCTGGTTCTTTTTGGTTAAAAACATGCATTTGATAATTATAAGAAGGAGAAGGATCCGTTTACAAACTTTTTTTTACAAATTACACTAAGTCTGAATGGTCATACACTCTTGATTAAAGTATGACCGGTCAGACATAGTGTAGTTTGTAAACGAAAAGTTTGTAAATATAACCTTCCCTTTATAAGAAACTGGCATTCTGTTAGAGAAAGTGTAACTGACATAATCCTTGTGCATCATTAGCCAGCAAATGTAGTGATGACATAATCCTTTTACTACCATAATGCATGATTCTTCAAATGTAGTGATGACTAGGCACAAAGCGTATATCATGTTATATAGCCAGCAAATGGATGTTTTTATAGGATGTGAATGGTTATATTGCTTAACTTAATGGCAGGGATGGAAGACTAAAGGTGATTGGCGGTGGTAATATTGAAGGACTTTTGTTTTCTCCTAAGCAATTGCCTTACAAATTTTTGGAGGTGGGTAGCATTTCCACTTCTCAAATTGATATGCAATTAGATCTTGTTGGATTTTCTATGATGCAAAATTATCAAAATGTTGGCTATCTAAGCTTGTGATAATTGCTCCTATATTAGTGGCTTATTCATGCTTGGATTCTTTTGGCACTTGCAGTTCCTACCGAACCGGGGGCATTTAGTTGGCGTCTTAAATGACAATGATATCCAGGTAAATTTCTTTTCCCAGATTTCATTTTCTGTTTGTGTTAATACTACTTTTTAATGAAGACACTGCTGAGCAATTAAAGATTGAAAAAATTTGGCATCATTCGCTGCCTCTCTTGCTCACTTTCCCCCAGATAGCCTATATGTTCCCGTTTTCTTGAGTCGCTGAACTTCGATCTATCTTTCATATCTCTGAGATGTGTGGTTGATTTTCTAGCTTTATTTTTTTCCCCATTCATCATGAATTGTTGAAAGATCAAATATACATATGATTGTTTATGAATGAACAATTTAGCATGACAGGTTATGGTTGATAGCAGTAAGGTGATTGACTTAGATTTCCTTGCTCATTATAGATGTTTATGGTTTAGAATGTTGACTAAGTGAAGCCCATTTAATTAGTCCTTTTCTTGACAATTTTGGCAGGTTTGGAATCTTGAGAGCCGGAGTCTTGTTTGGTCTTTACAATGGGAGTCCAATATTACTGCTCTCTCTGTAATCAGCGGCTCACATTTCATGTATGTTAGAGAAATACTTAAATTCAGTGCATCTGTATATATTTTTTTTCTCTTGTTGGTAGTAGTAGCTAGCTGCAAATGGTTGTGATAACATGGCACTTCATTAATAACACTACTACTCTGTTAAATGTGCAGTTATGTTGGAGACGAGCATGGCTTGTTTTCTGTGATAAAGTTCGAAGCTGAGGAAGGACAACTTTTGAAGTCATCATATAATTTGTCTGCAAAATTTCTAAGGGGTAATTTTTTTTCTGTCTTTTATTTTTATGTTTGATAACTAGTACATACATTGCATTCTCTCTATGCGTCCCCTTATTTTTCCTGGCGTTACTTTAGTATCTATTAGAGAAATATAAAAACCATTAATGTAGCCTCATCAATAGCTTAAGTTTTTGGGTTAAATTGGTTCTTTACATGGTATCAGAGCCTCGGTTTCTCGGGTTCGATTCTCACCGCCTCCATTTTTTTTGTGAAATTTCTTAGCACAGGTAAGTTGAGCTTGATGCATCATCCACCTTTCAAGCCCAATGGACTTTCTTGTGAGGGGATGTGTTAGAGAAGTATATAAACTATTGATGAGCCTTCACTTAATCGCTTAAGCTTCCGGGTTGAATTGATTCTTTACAATATCTATGCTAAACACTCTTATTTTCCACTTGGAAATTATTTTGAGATCCTCTGGTAAAGGAAATACATGCACCACTAAGATAAATCATGCTGAGTCCATATACAATACACATGTTACTTAAACACTATGTCCAAATGTCTTCTTCAGATGATTCATATCTCTCTGCTTCAGCATGTAAATTTATTTGTTGTTCTTTGCTTTAAGAATTGCTCATTGTCATTGTTTTCTTCCCTTTGATAGAAGCTGCCGGGTTTTCAGATCCCAGTGACCACCCAATAGTTGGAATTCTTTCTCAACCTTTTTCTTCTGGGAACAGGCAAGATATAAGTTGTTCATCTATCTTTTTAGCTTTACTTCAACTCCTGTGAATTTGGAAATTGTAATTCTGACTAGCCAGCTACTTATTGATATTTACCAATGCAATGGCAATTGAAGAATAGGATTTTGTAACATTAGATTTCCAGTTATGGCATACTAGTTTAACATTCATATTTGTTATTTTCTGGCTGTCTATCATTTCTAAAAAGCTTAAAGGTTAGTAAACTTTAGCTTGAGGGGGAGTGTTAGAATATTTAGAGAATATCTCATAACATCATGATTATATCTTAAAATATTTTAGATATCTTAGATGATCTCTAAGGATTGGTTTTAATATTTTCTTATATTTTATGACTTGTTTTGTATATATGTATATATATATATGAAAGGTATACTCATTGTGCTCAATTTGATGAAGATTGAATTCTGTATTTTTATATTTTTGCAGACTGTTGATTGCATTTGAGGATGGGCTGCTAATTCTTTGGGATGTTTCTGAAGCTAGAATCGTGTTCCTTGGTGGTGGAAAGGATCTCCAATTGAAGGATGAAGGTGGTAACTCTTCTACCGAACATGACACTGATATTATAGAACAAAATCTGGGAGACAAAGAGATAAGTGCTCTTTGCTGGGCATCTTCCAGTGGGTCCATTCTTGCTGTGGGATACTTAGATGGAGATATCCTTTTCTGGAACTTATCATCTGCAGCACCTTCTAAAGGTCAACAGACTTCTTCATCTAAAAATGTTGTTAAGCTACAACTTTCGTCTGCTGAAAGAAGACTCCCAGTCATTGTCTTACAATGGTCCAACAGCCATAAATCCCATAGTGACTCTGATGGGAACTTGTTTGTCTATGGTGGTGATGAAATTGGATCTGAAGAAGTTTTGACTGTGAGTTATTTGTTTATGACTGTTTATCATTTCATTTCAAATCAATATCTATTGGTTTTATTGGAAGTGGCTTTGAGTTATGTTAAATTATACAACATCAACAATACCTTAATCCCAAATCAATTGGGGTTGGTGGTCGATGAACCCAAAGAAAAAGCAAAAAAAATTGACGAAAAAGAAAAAAAGAAAAAGAAATAATAATAATAACAATAACAATGAATAAAAAATAAAATAAAATGAAAAACATGGGAGAAAAATAAATAAGCCAAAAAATTACTAAATAGGAAGAAAAAAGAAAATTAGAGAAAAAGATAAATAAATAATAGGAACATAGACTAAAAAGGATCGTCTAGAAAATAGAAAAAAATGGGTCTACCCCGCGATGCAACTAATAGCTTTTCCTCACTCCATCCTAAAACACATCATCCGCCAATCTATTTCCCACTTATTGAGTCTGATAAATTATACAACTTGCTAAGATATGTGATACATTCAAATTGGTCTAAAGTGTTATAGTTTGAACATTCTTATATGTTTCATAATAGATAATACCTAAAATCCCAAATGTATTAAAGAAATATTTTACTTAGACTTAGTAGGAAATATAAAAAAAAAATTGGAAAATTCCTTATGATGTGGTTAATCAGGTTGAGCACCATCCTGGCTTTAATGCAGGCTTACCCTCTAATTTACTATATTGAGGAATTTCCCACCTTATGTTTTCATTATTTTCTTCCCTTCTCTTTGGTTTGTATAAACAATGAAGTTTAAGCCCTCCTTATATCGAACATCTTTGATGATGCTGATTATGTTTTGGGGTTTTCTGGTTACTTTGTTGTTACAATTGAATTGATGGGTGGTGTCTCTACTAGTTAAAATTTTTTCTTAGCATGTCTGTAATGGTCCCCTAAACTTTAAAGTGTCTCTTTATTACAGGTTTTAACTCTTGAATGGTCATCTGGGATGGAGTCATTAAGATGTATTAGTCGTGCAGATCTTACACTTAATGGCTCTTTTGCAGACTTGATTTTACTGCCAAGTCCTGGAGCAATGGAGTTAAACAGCAAAGATGATCTTTTTGTACTGACAAACCCTGGACAACTACATTTTTATGATAATGAGAGCCTGTCTGCATCAACATCTGAGCAGAAGAGGACGCCATCAGTATCTGCTCAGGAGTTTCCATTGCTAATACCTCTGGTTGATCCATCTTTGACTGTTGCAAAACTTACCAGGTTGCCTAGTGAGTTAAATTCATCGAGAATTCTAGCTGAGGTAATTTGTTTGTTTTTTGGTAATTTCTGTCAAACCTCGCAGCTGATCTGTGTTTATTTTATGGTTTTTTTAACTACTTATGTCATTTGTCTTAGGTTGCCTCAGTTCTGAGAACTGGCTCAACACATGGTTCAGCTACTCGTTCAAATTGGCCCTTGACTGGGGGTGTTCCCAGCCAGTCGTCCACAGTTAAAGGTGCTGGGGTTGAGAGAGTTTATGTTGCGGGTTATTCTAATGGATCTGTCCTTGTGTATGATGCCACACATCCAGTATTATCTTATATTTGCTACATAGAGGGAGAGGTAAGAATTCCACAACTGTTTTGTCCCCAAATAAATAGAAATAAGAGATGACTCATACAAAAAATGTTTTATATTTATCATTATTGTTTATTTTTTTCGCAAATCTCCTGTGTGTTTTGTAGGTCAACGGTATAAAATTGGCTGGTTCAAATGCTCAAGTGACAAAATTGGACTTCTGCCCTGTGTCCTTACTTTTGGCTGTGGGCAATGAATGTGGTCTTGTCAGAAATCTTTCTTAATAGGTTACCCTGTCTGAGGCAATGCAATATTGTTCTATACTTAATTCCTTTGCTTTGACTTTTATAGGTTCGCATTTATGACCTTAAAGACCGCTCTGATGGGACAAATTTCCATTTTGTCACTGAAACAAAAAGTGAAGGTGATCTATTAGATGTCTATTATCATCATGGAAGACTACCTTCTTAATTTCAGTTTTTTTCCCATATGCGCAGCTTGTGTCCTAAACTAAGAAATTTGCGCAAAAAAAAAAAAAAAAAAGTGTTATCTCTTGACTTATATTAAACTTGTATTGCAGTCCATGACTCTGCAAAAGGAAAAGGACCTCATTGTACTGCTGTTTTTTATCTTCTTGGTTCTCGAGTACAAGCATTATCATTTACAGCTCCCGGAACTAAACTTGCTGTTGGATTTTTAAGTGGTCATGTGCGTATCATCTGACTACTTGTTAATTCACATTGTCTTTCTCTTATGTGATCAGAAGTAGAATTGTAAGATCCCTGAATTGATACATCTTGTATAAATTGCTTCTTTCCAGGTTGCGGTCTGTGATATGACTTCGTTCTCAGTTTTGTTTCGTATTGATGGTGTACCTAGCTCTAGCTCTCCAATTACTTCATTGGTTTGGAAACAACGAGCATGCTGTCAAAGTCCTGCTAATAGTTTAAAGCAATCAGAAACACCTTCAGGCAACTCTCTTGAAGAGATACTATTTATCTTATCCCAGGATGGAAAAATTAATGTAGTTGAGGGTGATACTGGTAAAATGATCTCCAGTCGGCCATTACATGTGAAGGAATCAACTGCAATTTCAATGTATGTTATAGGCAAGTACTAGTTTCATCAAGAACACAATATATTTTCTGCTTAATTGTACTTTGCATATCATTGGAAATTCTAAGAGATTTTTGTACCTCAGAGGATAGCATCTCAACGTCTGAAGCATCAAATGACAAGCAGCAGGAAGAACCCTTAAAAAATACTGCTGGTGCTAGCCCTGATGAGCCTGTGCCAGAAAGTAACTCAACTGGGGTAAATTCATCAGAGGCTGAACATTCCTCTTCAGAAACCACATATTCTGAAGATTTACTTTTGGATCCACTTGTTCTGCTCTGCTGTGAGAATTCATTGCGCTTGTTCTCGGCAAAATCATTGATACAGGTCCTTTAGTCCATTATCACTTCATATTTGCATTCACATCATAAGCCTTTTTGCAAATGAATTTGATATTTATGATATATTCTTCCAGGGACATAAGAAACCGATTCGAAAAGTGAAACATTCTAAGTCTTGCTGTTGGACTACAATTTTTAAGAAAGATGACATTTTTTGTGGGCTTCTGTCATTGCTTCAGACTGGAACATTTGAAATCAGGTGAGTGTTTTGTTCTTTTTTTTTTGTTTAAGAGGGGGCGGGGTAATATTTTCAATAAGACAATATGGATTGTAGCAAATTAAATATACTTTGCAATATTAAATTCTTGGTTTTGTCCATATTGTATAATTGTAATTTTGCACTTGGCTTTGGACAGGTCTTTACCAGATTTGGAATTGGTAGCAGAAAGCTCTTTATTGTCAATTTTAAGGTGGAATTATAAAGTGAATATGGATAAAACCTTGTGTTCTGATGATAATGGACATATTGTGCTGGTATGATATTCTTTAGAACTTTCAAATTGTCAGGAATTCCTTTTTTATTTGTGCTCCCTATATTTTTTTGGGAATAATGTAAAGCATATTTGAGTATTGTGATCAAAGACATTCAGTCAACTTAAAAGTCTGCAACTTTTGGTCTTGAAAGCACCCATCTTATGTTGATAACTTACAGGATAATGGTTCTGAATTGGCATTCATCTCATTACTAGCTGGCGAAAATGATTTCAGGTATCTTTGTATTCTGTAATGAAGAGGATAACTGTGTGGACTTCTGGTTAAAATGTAGAAATATGGAAGAAAAAGTTGAATGAGCAATTCTATTGTGTTTTAGGAGTCTGGAGCATTTGCCTTGTCTTCACGATAAAGTTCCTGCAGCCGCTGCTGATGCTGCCTTTAGATTCTCTTCAAATCAAAGGAAAAAACAGGTTTGAGTTTCTCTGATTTGTCTTATTTTTGGATACCTAAGTTCCCACCATTAAAAACTGTTTAACTAGCTTAACCTTTTTGGTACAGATTACTGTACCTGGGATTCTAGGTGGTATTGTCAAAGGATTTAAAGCTGGAAAAACCTCTCAAACAGATTTGACTAAAATTCCAACCTCCAATTTTGGTCATTTGGAAAACACTTTTTTTAAGCCCCCCTTGCCAGATTCCCTTCTAACAGCGGGAGCCGCGGAAAATAAAGAAGTGGAGCTTGATATAGGTTTTCTTGCTAAACTGCCTCTTCATTTTTCCTTTTTCTTTTGTTTTGTTTTTTTTAATTTTATAATTTGAATACTTCCACACTTTGTACTGTAAAAAACAAAACCTCAAAACATGCTCTATTTTGGTACAGATGACATTGAAATAGATGAACCTGAAACTAAGGCTTCTACCTCATCTCCTGATGTTAAAAACAAACAGAAAGGTAAATCTCCTTCAAAACTTAATTTCATATTTTAACTGCAAAGATTAGTGACAGTTTCTTCCTTTTGCCTGCAGATAAAAAACTACATGATAGGGAAAAGTTACTTCAAGGTGGGACTAATGATGAAATAAAACCAAGACTTAGAACACCTGAAGAAATTATAGCTACTTACAGAAAAACTGGGGTAATGCTAAGCAGTCTATCCTTTCTGTCTTTTCGTACGCTATTGATTTCGATGAGGTAAATATATCAAATTATTGCCTCATTTCAGGATGCTGCTTCAGTTGCTGCCCAGGCAAAAAACAAGCTTATGGAGAGGCAGGAAAAATTGGAGGTAGAAATTTATATGATCTCATCATGTCAACTTACATAAATTTCATAGTGATGGACTATGATGCACCGAACCGACACCGACACCGACACCGAACACGGCACACGACACGCTGACACGTTAATTTTAAAAAATGTTATATTTCGACACGTTGGGACACGTTTTGATATTAAATAAAATTTTTAATTTATATAATATAATTTATATTTAATACATATAAGAGTCCATAATAAGTCATATAACTAATCAAATATTTAAATTTCATAACATAAATATAAATAAAAATAATTTTTCGTACTTTGTTAATTTTTCATGTCAAATTTCATAACAGAAAAAAATTAATTTATAAATTATTTTTTATATTTAGTTAATAAAATAAAATTAAGATTAAAAAAAAAAACGTGTAGGAGCGTGTCGGAAAAGGTTGACTGCGTGTCGGAAAAACGTGTCGGAGAGTTGACTGCATGTCCTCAAATGTTGACTGCGTGTCGGACGCGTGTTGGAGCGTGTCCGACACGCAAATTTTTCAAAAATTCCCATGTCCGTGCTTGTTAGGTGATGGATAACACACATTGAAAGAATATGGTGCTCTAAATCTTTGCTATTGTCTGTTTATGCCAACAAAGTTCCCTTGTGATGGATGATAATCTCGGTATTATTATTGATACAAGTATCTCTATATATTGTTGCTAGTACCCTCTCTTTTTTTTCTTTTCTTTCAACAGTTATTGTTAAATTATAAACATCTTTGTGTACTCTTTAATCTTTAAGACATAAGGTCATAAATTTCTTGCATCGAAAGTATTATTATCGCGATTCATAAATGGTGCGAAACTGAACTTTTGCTGCTCATTTTGATTCAGAGAATCAGCCAACGTACTGCAGAACTGCAAAGTGGAGCTGAAGATTTTGCATCATTAGCAAATGAGCTTGTCAAGACCATGGAAAGGAGGAAATGGTGGCAAATATAGAAAGAAAAAACAAAAATCTTTATGGCTTTATTAGCTTGTCTATTGCGTGTATTTATTCTTGTATATTATATATTTGTGGCTTATGGCTTTGTTTTTTGTTTCATTTGTTGCATAGAAATAACAAAAGGAGATTACAGAGAATAGTGATTACTGATTCATGATAACTAGAAAACTTATGTGTAGGATGAAGCTTCTCAGGTTTTGATATTTTTTTTTTTTTTTTTTTTTTTTTGATAATCACAGGTTTTGATATTTAGATTTTAGAACACAGTGATCCCGTGCTTTTTGTTAATATTTTATGAATGAATTCCCTTATAGGTTTCTGCAATTTCCCTGAGTTATTCAAGATTTTCGTTTCTCTTTCAATAGGATGTTGCTTTTTTAAGTTGGACATATAACTTTTTGAGTAAGTACTCAAGCTATCTTCAAAGATACATAGCAGATTTCATCTTTTAAAGATTTTGGACATTAACTTGGTTCTTTTATTTTTAAAATTTATGTCAATTTGGTCTTCCGAATTCTTTTGTATATTTGTACATCATTTTAGTCCTTAAATTGTTGATTATGTTATAGGGATTAGTGTTTTTTTTTTTATGTTGTAGCAGATAATTTTATCTCTTACACACACATAAAAGTATGTGGGGGTTAATATTATTATTTTTTTCTCTTTTTTCTCTTTATATGATTCCACACACTTTTATGTATGTATAGAAGAGAAATTTATTTCATACAACATTAGAAAGATTAAACTTTATATTATACTATGAAAAACAAAATTGGTGTCAATTTTTTTTTAATACTAAGTTGGTATCCCATGTACTTTTCAGGGAGAAAGGCTTGTTCTAAACGAGTTGGTCAAATTAAATCAATTCACAGTGGACCCATCTTTATTTTAAATGTAAAAGAATTTTGTGATACAAATTTTTAAGTTTGTAAATTGTGTCACCTAAAAAAAAGAAAGAACAAGTTAAGTCATGACATCAATTTATTCCTTCAATTATGGAAGTGATATCAAAACCATCTTTTTATATAAATTAATGTCATTTTCAACTACTGAGGAGTTAAATTAATGTCATTATTATATGATTGAGGGATGAAATTGGGTTTATTTTATTATTGAGAGATTCAATTAATTTCAATTTATTTATAAGATTAAATTGATGTCAGCGTGAGGGATTAAATTGATGTTATTTTTATATTATTAAGAGATTCATCTAGTTCCAATTTCTTTATATTTATAATTTAACATACAAAAATTTAGCATAAATTTGAATTATTTGTTTTTAGTTAAAAAAAAGCCTTATCATAATCAAAATATTTTAAATATAATGTTTGACTAAATTTTATGTTGGACTATATTTATTTATTTATTTAGTAGCAACATTTACTTTTGTGATTACCAAATTTTTGTTGACTAAACTTATCATAATGACCAACAAATATTACTTACTTTTATCTCTCAAAATCAACTAACTATAACTAGTTTCTTCCATAATAAAATAAGGCACTAAAGGAGTGTTTATGATACAAGAGTGAGGTAATTTTTATGGACCTATGAGAAGGTTATAATTTAGAAGTTCAAATAAAGGGTAACAGAGAAGAAAAGTTTTGTAAATAAGGAAGAAAATCCCTTGTTAGTGATGATCATGTTCTAACAGTTGTGTAGTTGGACTTGGGCAGCAAGTAGGCCACCAAAGATCTAGAACTCTGTTATTTGTAAGTAAATTCTATAAATAAGAGATAAAATCTATATGTATGTATTTAATCTTTTTTTTATTGTTATATTATTACTGTGCACATATATCATCCATTTGACAAATGTCATTACCAAGAGTGTATAGAGATCTGTAACCTCAAAAATATTTCATTTATAGATATCTTGGATAAAGTACCATATCCTATAGGAATATATTAATCATTGACTAGATACTTCTCTCAGATGGAATATTAATGTACCAAAATTTCGTTGCACAATTTCATTCAAAGATGATAACTATATATAAAGTAATATGTATTATGTATTTATTATTTTTGAAAGATGATAACTTGAAATCTTGTTATTTTGTAGACTAGGAATATTGGATGTTATTGATAGCAAACTATCTTGTTTTAGTTTTTTATTGTCTATTAATATATTTTAACTCTTCAAAAGTTTTAAGACTTGTATTAGTTTGAATATTTGAATTTTTCAGTGGTTAGTAACTTTGAATGACTTTAGTTTGATATAACTAAAGATTTATATGAAGAAAATTTAGGTTTTTTGAAAAACCAAAAATCAATCCAATTTAAATCGAATAAAAATGAATTGGATTGGATTTATAAAAAAAATCAAATTGAATAGATGATTAAATGATCAAACCGAAAGAATTAGATCAGATAAAATTTACTTCAAAATCAAACCAATCCAGAATGCGAACACCCTGGTATATATTGCTTCAATTAATTTATTTATCATATACTTTTTATAAATTCAATTTGGGAAAAATATTTCTGCAGTTAATGCAGATAAGTTATCCGCATTTATTCCCAAAACGACGTCGTTTTGTTATTGAAATCTTAAAAAATTATAAGTATAAAGACTATTATAACCCTAAAATAAATTCAAATTACAAAAATACCATGATTTTCGCCCAAAACGACGTCGTATTAGATTTATTGCAGATAAATTATCTGTAGTAACTGCAGAAAAAGAGAATCGATTCAATTTAATCAACACCAGACATAAGTCATTATGATCAATGCCTAAATAGTAGGTAGGTATTTACGCATTTAGTCATTGGGTTTTATTAATCTCATATTAAAGGAGATAAGTTATCTCATGTTATAGAGATAAATTTGTTGGCTCCACCACATGAAAAAATAAAAAGAAAAGAAAAGAAAAAGGTGGCGCAGTTATCGTAGAGTGTGTAGGAAAAAAAACTTATCTCATGCAACATGAGAATAGTTTTTCCCTTAGTCATTTAGACACCTGTTTTTATTCCGACCTCTATTTGTAAAATGTGAAAAGTAACAAAGAAAACAAATAACAATAATCTCACGTTTGCCACATGGGTGTCTTACCAGTTACCACAAAAAAATCCCCCGTTCACATTGCTAAATTAGTACGATAATATCACACCGACCCATGAATGAATCAAAATTCATCGTATTTTTTACTTTTTTTTAAAAGTAAATTACATATATTCTCTACAAAAAACAATTTTATTTATTCGAATACAAAATATTCACATCATGATACAATATGATTAGCTCTCCAAAAAATAATCTTTTGCATTCACAAAAATTAAAATCTAGGCAAATTTCAAAAAAAATTCTGTAACTTTCTTCATAATCATTTACTTTTTTTCAAAATTTTGAATCATTTATCTCTCTGACTTAAAGTTTTTTTATCATTTATCTTTCTAAGTGAAAGAGATAAATGATAAAGAAATTTTAAATCAAGGTAAGTGATAAAAAAATCTGAATAAAAATATAAATGATTCAAAAAAATTATAAGAGGATAAGTGATAATTAAAAAAAATTATAGGGAAATTTTTAAATTTTTTTCTAAAATCAAATATATAACACTTAAATCAATTTCCTTATTAATCGTTATTCTCAAATCGAATGATCTTCCGCTCTGTACCATCAAATTAACGAAAAGAAAAGAAAATATAGAAAAAAAAAGGAGCAGAAAAAGTGTGATCTTCCACTTCCATGATAGGTCAAATCCACGGCAAGAATCAGAGAAATTCAATTCCACGAGTCTACACATGACAATCATCATTAGTAAAAGTAAACACGGTTTTGTTTGGTCTCTAATTGCGAGCACATATTATTATTACACATAAAACACATAGACAAAATCACATGACCAAATTGCACCTGGCACTGCACCCTTTTTATATTTAAGTTCCACCATCAAGTCCTGAACCCATAACTGAGGAACAAAGAGACCCTTTTTCTTCCTTCCCTTCAACCCCTTTTGGTTCCCCTTAATTCTTCAAAGGCTCAATCAAAGCTAAGATTTTTATCTCTTAAGCTTTACAATAATTAAAGGTTAAAAACGTGTGTGGTTGTTGTTGGAAGTTGAAACACAAGTTACAGACCAAGTGTTTGATCTTAAATTTCTCTTAACAATTCTCTTTTGTTTTCAATATTATATACCCAATTTTTTTAACTATTTAGTCTTGGATATTTTGTTTATCTTGTCATCTTTTCTGTTTTTTTGTTCTCATCTTTTGCATCCTTCTTTGTGTGTCTTTATCTTTCTGTTAACTTTCCCTTCTGGTCCTGGATAGGCCAGGAACCTAACCACCCTGGTCTAAAGCTTCATCTGGTTCTCCTATGGCAACTTGGGTTTTATCAGAATGTGGCTTAAAGCCTCTTCCTCCAGTATTTCCAAGACCTAGAACTGGGGTTGTTTTGTTCAACCCTTCAAAGGTTAGGTTTGTTAGCACAAACATGGGAGTGAGAGATCTGAAGTTTCAACCCAGAGGCTATACAAGTTGTAGCTTTGGGGAGAGAAACTGGGGATTGAAAGTGAGTGCCCCTTTGAGTATTGCTTCTCCCATTGAAGGAGAGCAAGAGAGTGCAGCAGAGATAATCAATGGTGCTAATGGGGTTGAACAAGAACTTCCAGAATTTGACCCTAGTGCACCACCACCATTCAAATTGGCTGATGTTAGAGCAGCAATTCCAAAACATTGTTGGGTAAAGGACCCTTGGAAGTCAATGAGTTATGTAGTCAGAGATGTCATTGTTGTTATTGGGTTGGCTGCTGCTGCTGCTTTTCTCAACAACTGGTTGGTTTGGCCTCTCTATTGGGCCGCTCAAGGGACTATGTTCTGGGCTCTGTTTGTTCTTGGCCATGATTGGTAATAACCAGTTTTCTTTTCTCACTTTGTTCTAATTCCCATTTAGCTGCTGCAGTTGGCTTTTTGGGTTGCAGAATTGGGTTAAAACAAAATTTGTGTCTTGATGAGTTTAATTGTTGTTTTGGATCTTTCAGTGGTCATGGAAGCTTTTCAAATGACCCCAATCTGAACAGTGTTGTTGGGCATCTGCTACATTCTTCAATCTTAGTACCTTATCATGGATGGTATGTTAATGCTCATGAAGGAATAGCTTTTTTCTTGCCTGACCCTATTTTAAAATATACTTATCCCTTTAATGCTTGATTATGAATATTTTAAACTGATATTTAGCTGGATTACACAGGAGAATTAGTCATAGGACTCATCACCAAAATCATGGCCATGTTGAAAATGATGAATCTTGGCACCCGGTGAGATGATAATCATTGTTTTAGTTTTTAAGAGATACTGTTTGTCTCCAATTTTTTTCTCAATTCAATGAAGTTTCTGATATATGAAGTGTATTTGTAATCTTGCAGTTGCCTGAGAAAATATTCAGGAGCTTGGACAATGTAACACGTACTTTAAGATTTAAAGTGCCTTTTCCAATGCTTGCATATCCTGTATACCTTGTAAGTTGCTGTGCCTACAAGTTTTGACCATAGTTTGAACATGAATTACTCTTAGTCCTGGTAGAGGAATTGACTTGGATGTTGATCTTTGAATTCAGTGGAGCAGGAGTCCTGGGAAGACTGGTTCTCACTTTGACCCAAGCAGTGAATTGTTCGTTCCCAGTGAAAGAAAAGATGTTATTACTTCTACAGTTTCTTGGACAGCAATGGTGGCATTGCTTGTAGGATTGGGGTTTGTAATGGGACCAATTCAATTGCTAAAGCTTTATGGAGTTCCCTACGTGGTAAGTTCCATCTCTTTTTCTATCATTTCAATGGTTTTTCTTTTTGAATCAAGAATGAAGTCCTTATTTGACTTTGCTTTCAATTGAAGATTTTTGTCATGTGGTTGGATTTGGTGACTTACTTGCACCATCATGGCCATGAAGACAAATTACCATGGTATCGTGGACAGGTACCATTTTTTTTTCTTTTTTTTTTCTTTGTCTCTCTTTTTTCTGTTAAAAAGGATTGATCTTAAGGGTGGTCTTACATGTTTATCCTTCATGTTGAGCAGGAATGGAACTACCTTAGGGGTGGTCTTACTACTATTGATCGTGACTATGGATTAATTAATAACATACACCATGACATTGGAACTCATGTCATTCATCACCTATTTCCTCAAATCCCACACTATCACTTAATTGAAGCTGTAAGTATCTCTCTATTTATGGTGAAAAAATGTATAGTGATTTGCTTGAGATATAGAGTTTAAATGTTGTGTTTGCTTCACTTGCAGACTGAGGCAGCTAAGCCAGTGTTTGGAAAATATTACCGAGAGCCAAAGAAATCTGCTCCTTTTCCCTTTCACCTTATTGGGGACTTGGTAAGGAGCTTGAGGAAAGACCATTTTGTTAGTGACACTGGAGATATAGTGTACTATCAAACAGACCCTGAGCTTAGTGATTCATCCAAATCAAACTGAAGCTTAAAATTTTCCCATTTTGAAGACAAGTGGGACTTCAACACAATTCTTATTGCTGTAAAGATTGTATTAGCTTCTCTTTAAGTTACTGCACGTATTTAGAGTTGAATTATTCATAAGTAAAGGGAATGAATGCCTCTTAGAAATTTATTGTAACTGCCTGATAGTAAATAATGAGTAGGGTATGTGTAGTTTATCCTTCTTGAAGACTGATTTGTCTGTAAATTGATTTTTCTTCATGAAGGAAGTGAAATATTGAATCCTGATTAAATTGATGTTTTGTTTGCTCATATTGAAACACTTTAGTTGAATGATAATATAGAATAGAATTTTATGTTACAGATGTTATTTTTTTCCATCCTATTATCTTTGTCTTTATTTAGCCTAAATTATTGGTTTGATATCTGAGGGCGGGTCTTGGAGCAGTGATAAAGTTGTTCCTTATGACCAGTCACATGTTCGAGTCTGGGAAACAATTTCTTTACAAAGATGCAAGAATAAGGCTATGTACAATCAACTATTATCCATTCTCGTAAATTGGGAGATTTATGCATCAGGATTTACATTTTCACCTTTTATTGGATTGATTTTTCTCGAAAATACGTGGTTAACTATGAGTTAGCTTGTCACGTTTGTGGAAATTATAGTTCTTCCGCTTAGGTTTCTTTTCCGAATAGGCCAAATAATAGTTTGTTGATACCTTATTCCGTAACTATAGCCATTTTTTTCACGTTTCTTTTAGTAGATGATTACCTAATGGCCATGAAAATGATATGCTGCTCATACTGTTTTGTCACTATATTGGTACTGCTTTCTAATGGCTAATGCCAACAAAATGAAAGTCGGTTCCAATTTGCCACGGCCACATGCAATTCAATAGAACTTCTGGCCAACCAAGATTACCAAAACAGGTTCTCATTAGCTTTTGCTGTTGCACCATTCATATCATAACTTATCACGATTGTCCAAAAATACAGTTGATAAAGAAGCACCATGAGCCAAATGGTGGTAGCTCAGTTGGTGTATGGAAGCTAAGCAGGTGGGGGTGAGAGCATGTGTTCGAATCTTTCTAGTATCATCTTTGGAAGAGGTTTAAAACCTTAATCCTGGACCCGTCCCGAATCGGATTAGTTGCGAAACAATGAACCGATTGGAATATTTTCCAAAAAAAAAAAAGAAGCACCATGAATAATTTACAATTGATTATGATAAAAACATAAAAGCAAATTATATTCTCTCTTATCGTTATTGGGTCTTATCCATTGTTTTATGTGTTGCATGAAATAAAATTATTTCACGTAATATGAAAAATATTTTTATTTTTGTAGTTAAGTATATGCATTTTATATAAACGGTTAACATATAATATATTAACAGTAATCTCATACCAATATGTGAAATATGAGCATGCACTCAGACCTCTAAAATACTTAATTTTATGTCTGAGGTTCTTAGCACTTTTAAATAAACAAAATAGGGATGCAATTGACTAATTATGAGATTTACCAACCATTTCTATTTAAGAGAACTTGAGCTGCAGTTCATGACCTTTGACTAATGCAATTCAGATTTTAGAATCGGTTAGGTATGAATAGACATATGTTAATGTCATTCAAAAGGAAAATTGTCAAATTATATGTTCAACGCAATCCTGCACATAATACTAAATAATTCAATCCAATTTAATATGCATGCAGTCTTATCAGTTTATAATATATAATTATCTTTAATTAATAAAAAATAAAACAAGAACAAAATAGTTTGGGATCTCTCCCTAACCTATACAAAACCCCTTCTTTTATTCTCCATTGTTAAGTTGATATATAAATTAATAACTAGATTTAGATCTGCATGTTACACGTGTGCCTCAACAATGACAATATTAAAGATTTTAAGACTTTTAGTAAACGTTACTCCAAGGAATATAAGGAATATCAGGGGTCATATTCTCAATGAGCTTTCGGCTGAAAATAAAAACGGGATTTTTTTTTAAAAGTGGGAATTTTTTTAGAATAAAAGATTTGTTTTTTTTATATATATTGATTAGTCCAGCACCAATTGTGTTGTGCCTAATAACACATAATTGAAGGTAGAAGATGTTGATGAAGAGAAGGAAAGATTGATTAGTTGTTGTCAGGATGCTTGGAAGAGCGAGATGGTGTACTCAGTTGCAAGACGATTGGGTAGTGCTTTCGCTTCTTTAGGTAGTATAAGAGCAACTGGAGGTACTAGTAAAGGCACTCCGACACTTAAATCAATTGAATATCCAATGAGGTACAATTATTCAAAGAGAGATATCATACCTAAGCCAATTGACCTCTGTATTTATAGTGTTTGAGCGCCGTGTTTATCATCGTCCTTCATGAGACGATGTTCATGTTGATTTGTAGAGAGGGTGGCTTCTCTCAAGCTATTCCTTAGTGGACAAGGCTATGTTCAGAGTATATTCTATAGATATGTTGGCAAGCAGGAGCTGTCATCCTTTCACTGGTTACTGGTGGTGGCCAACTTGCTTGAGCTGCAGACCTCGACAATGATGGTTCCTTTCAAGTTAAGTTATGTTGGTTTGGTGGCCAAGTACCTTAGCGAGATTCATGCCTCTAAGGTGACATGGTCTGCCTTTTAAGGCGTGTTTGGTGTGATGTATAAGGCCTGATAGTATAAGCTTATACTATACATTGTGATATTTTTAGTTGTTTGGCGTGACCATCGTATTATACAAGTTTATACATCAGGATCCCTTAATACATTGATGTATAAACTTATCAGGTCTAAGGGGGTGGGATAAGCCCTGATAAGGAATTGATGTATTAGCTTGATACATTCCCATCTTTCTCTTCCCGATTTTAACCCAGGTAACCATTCTCTTCTTCTTCCCCCTTTCTTCATACCGTGATTGTTGAGAAATGGATTCACGACGGTGGTGGCTGATACATCAGCGGTTCACAGCATATTGGTTCACAAGTCCAACGAGAAAAAAATCATTCTCCTCGATTCTCAAAACTCATCGCCGCCAGCAGCGACCCTGGAGACAGGTCCCTCGTAGTCTTACTTCCACCTTCATCTTTCCTCATATCTCTATCTTTATATGAATTTTGATTTCGTCGTCGCATGTAGGTTCAATTTTTGGCATATATACAGAAGAACATGGCTCTTTATCAGTTCCGTAATGGGATCCTTTTGACTGTTGCCGCTGCTGCTATCTAATTTCCCTTGTGGCAAGCTCCCACTACTCTCCACAAGGTATCCATTTCCTTTTTTTTTCATTTTAGAGTTGTGATTCAATGCTTTACATTTTTGGAAACCCTAACTGGCATTTTGGGTATATTCAAATATCTCCTTCTTAATTGCCTCAATTTATATGCCATTACTATGAGCTATAAGATTTTGTAGTTCATTTTATTTATAAAAATTCTCATGATAGGAGTTCCTGTTCTTTCTTTCCTTTCATTTGTGGTCACTGGATAATGAGTTTATTTATATGTGAATTTGGTTTTCTTTAGAACCCATACTCTGTGAACATCCTTCTTGCTGGTTATGACAAAGAGACAAGCCCTTCACTATACTATATTGACTACATTGCAACAACACTTTACAAGCTTGAAAATGGAGCTTTTGATTATGGCTCCTATTTTTTACTGTCAATAATGGACAGACACTACCATAGTGGAATGTCAATGGAAGAAGCAATTGATCTCATTGATAAGTGCATTATGGAAATAAGATTGAGGTTGGTTGTGGCACCACCAAACTTTGTTATCAAGATAGTTGACAAGGATGGTGCAAGAGAGTATGCATAGTGAGAATCAGTCAAGGATACTCCTACTCCTCCAGCTTGAGTTAACTCTGTTTCTTATTTTGGTTGGACTTCATTCATTTGCCTATGCTTTTCTCTTTCTACATTTTTATTTTCACTTCCTCTTAGTGCTATTGCCTATTGTGTTGAATTAATATGTATGACTAGTTTTATTCGAAAATGAATTTGTGGCAATGTATGAGGTAGGCTTGATTTTAATATACCTTAAGGTGGGGATTTTGGAAATTTGTGAATAACATTTGAGGAAAGAGGGAGGAGTGTTGTTTAGGAGTGTGTCTTCACTATTTTATAACTCATCATGGTTGTGTAAGCCAACATGGCAATATGGTTATTCTTGTAATGGACATGTGAAAAAGAAGCTACCTTATTTTAGCTTAATTAATGGTAGATGTAACACCCCGTGTATACCCGGTTTGTTAACATGTCATCGTATTAAGCCACACTTAATTAAAATTGCGGAATATCTTTTTCTTTTCAATTATGATGTCATTATCATTACCAAGTTGAATTAGTTAATTCATTTCCAAGACATTGCCTGTATGTAAATTGCAAAAGACAACTATCTACACTGAATAGCCTCATATATATAAATCATTAATTGTGTCTCTAGTCACAGCACTACAACACGTAGGTCGGACAAACCCTGATAGTTTATACAACTCAAGTCTAAACTACGATACATAATCAAATATGGCATGGACAATCTCCATGCTCACCAAATAAGGCAACAAGGCCCAACAGAGTCTCAACAATAACAACATAATCATAAAGATAACATATCAACATCCAACATATAATCATAACAGCAAACAACTAACTCAGCTCCGGCCTCTTGTCGCCCGAGGTCTCAACCCCTGGGTTACCTGAACCTGAAATATGTGCCCCTAACGTGGGGTGCAATCTCTAAACAGAATTCTCAGTAAGACAAGGGGTCCTCAAGGATTTTCCACCCCAAGCTCACTTACATATGCAATATAAGTTCCAAAAGCAGTTTAACAGTATAAGTTCCAAAACAGTGCAATACAGTAGATAATCATGTCATGTGTGTTATAACTAATCTACTGGCCAGAGAGATACAAGAATACGTTTATTACCCACATAGTACGCGCCCATGTCATACCTGCCCACAGGATCACATCCCGTCTAGGCGAACACCACATACAAATCATAAGGCATTTGCACTTAACAGCTCAAAAAGCATTTCAATAAAACAATACATGAAAACACATCATGCGTATAAACCATCCCCCCATGGGATATGGTGGAACCAACAATGGCTAAACCGAGGACACAAAAGCTTACCTTGCAAGCTAACTACCCAAGCCAAGAGTCCACACACAGCAGAATCACGATCTACTTTGGACCAGCAATCAAATCAATATTCAAACACAACAAGCATAAGACATAAAGACAACACATTTCCTTCACGTTCAAGTCTTTAGGC